TATAGAAGAATGAGGTGTGACCTATTATGGACATTCCGCATTATCCACGGGCATGAATGTTCGCTCAAAAATGACGACTTCTTTGAATTCACGACCACGAGTCACCTGCGCGGTCACCCTTACAAAGTCAAGCGGGAGCGTACACGCCCAGACAATCGGAAGTTTTCCTTCAGCCAGCGTGTTGTTCGGCCATGGAACTCACTCCCAAGTGAAATAGTGACATCTGATACAGTCGCTGTATTCAAAAGGCAGCTGGATCGTTTGATATTTGATAAACGACGACTTTCACAACAGGACTACCGGCGGCCAGCCATAAATTTCCTTTCTTGATTTCATCCCTACTTAACACACCCCTGACTCTTAATGAGATGCCCCCTCTCAAACTATGCAAGTGACTGCACTTTATGCTGATTGTATATAACTGCACTTAAAATTTCATGTGTACACTGAGAAGACCGCCTGCCGCACCCTTTGCCGTCCCGCATTGTGAAAGTTTCCCGTGAACAAATATGTTACTGACAAAATTTTAGTAAGATGTACATTTAACATTTATATTTTATGTACCGTTTTCAATAGGGTCATCAAGGGCATTGCCTATTACCCTAAAATACAATACAATACAATACAAATGGTTCACAAAGAACTCCCAAGTCATCATCAGCATGCAACAAAGACAGTCCGCTCCGAGAACAGTGTCTAGTAATACAGGGACTTCAGGAACCACACACAGACACAACTAAAGAACGCGTTCTAGCTGATCCTGGATTGTTCCAAGGTCTTTTAATTACGATTGAAAAGTCAATGGGCTAGCATATGCTTTCGGTAATTTCTCATCAGGCCTGTACAATTATAAGGGAAATGATCAGTCTAATTGTCGACAGGGTATAAATGCGTCTCGGGAGCTGGGTTAATCGAACTCCATGTTCCCACGCCGCCCGCATGACGGCGTCAGCGTGTTGAGGACGATGGAATTGGGGTGGGAGGGGAGGGAGAAGGAGTTGGAGTGGGAAGGGGGGAAGTAGAGGGGTTCCGGTTAGATTGTAGGCGCTGTGAGTGCGTGTGACTGCTATCAGTGTGTCGGGACGGCGTGCGATCCTTGTCTGGAGTCGGCCAGGGCAGACAGACTGCTTGTGTCAGCGTCTTCTGACAACAGAGTGCTGGGTTCGTCAGTCGAATGGCCACTGCTTCGGCTGTGGCTAGCACCCGTTTGCGCAGGCCTTTAGAGTAGTGTGCCGGTGCCCGGTAAATAACTTTAAACGCTTCTTTAGCGTCGGTTTGATGGTTCGTATCGATTAGATGTGCGAGAATTGAACTCGAAATCGATCGATGTTCACCTCTACCTAGCCAGGCAGGCATGTGTTCGCGTATTTTCTTTTCCAGACGCCTGGTTGTACGGCCAATATATCCCGCTCCACAGGAGCAGGTGAATGAATAAATACACATGGATGTGGTCTGTAACGACAGTCGGTCTTTGCCCCCCCCCCCCAACCGTAGTAGGGGGGAATTCGCGAAGAATACGCGCAAGTTCGCCGCGGGGAAGGCACTCGCGAGCTGTCCTGAGTCGTCGTCTCACTAATTCGCTTGCTGCGTCTCCTAGAAAAGGCAGTCTTAGAAATAAGTCTTTCTTTTCCGCAATTGCAAGGGCCGGTTTTGTGGCCCGCTCTCTAATATTCCGGAGGAGGAATCGCTCTGATAGCCGTTTTCGCGGAGCGTGTTTTGTAGCTGCTGGAGTTCTGCCTCAACAGTTTCAGGAGAGCAGATGCGTCTCACTCTAGCCGCCAGTCCCTGAACTAAATTTCGTTTTAGATTTAAGGGGACAAAACTGTGAAAATTAATGTATTGTCCCGTCCAGGTTTTCTTTCTGAATATCTTGCGTTGGATGGATCCATCCTCTTGTCTGTGTAGAAGGACATCGAGGAATGCGATCTCGTTATTCGCCTCGGTCTCTGCGGTAAACATCAGAGATGGGTGCGCACCGTTAAACTTCTGAACTAGGCCATTGGTATCGGTGGTATGACTCGTAAGGCAAAAGATATCGTCCACATATCGACCGTAGAATTTGAGGTCATTAATGGTATCTTTGAGACTCGTTTGCTCGACCTTGTCCATGAATACATTTGCGAGAAACGGTCCAAGCGGTGAACCCATTGCCACACCGTCTATTTGCCTGTATAGCTGGCCGTTGTAGAGGAATTGGACATCCTGTGTGCATCGCGTAAGTAGTTCTTTCAGCATCTCCACTGTCATGCCTATCGGATAGTTTGTTTCCCTGATGTAGTCGACCAGGAAGTCTATTGCCTCCACAACGGGTACGTTGGTGAACAGTGATGATAGATCTAACGAGAGCATCGTTTGTCCTTCCACGTTAATGTTCTTGATAGCCTCTACAATCTCAAAGGTGTCTTTCAAACTTCGCGGATACAGGCAACTTTGAAGCGGTTTTAACTTTTCTACCAGCCATTTCCTATTGCGTGATAGGGTGAATTTCTCATGTCCAAGATTGGACGTTGTGGTAGCACGGGTTTATGAATCTTTGGAAGACCATACATTCTGGGTATCGTCGTGCCCACAGGTTTTAGTCCTTCAAACTCCTTGTCAGACAGAAATCCTTCCTTGTGTAGATCTTTGAGCACATTCGTTAACTGCCTCTAGATTGTCTCAGTTCGATCCCTGTCTTTGTCGGATTTTGAAAATTTTGTACGGTCCGATAAGATTTCTTCTAATTTCTCCACGTAATCCGTCTTATCCATCAGTACTATGCCTGAGCCCTTGTCGGGTCTGGTTAGTAAGATATTTTCATTTTCCCGAAGCTTCCGGAGACTATCGAGGTGGGCTCTTGTTAGGGGACCTTTGTTCCTCGAACCCTTTCTTAAATACTGTTCACAGCAGTTTACCAGAGTCGATTTAAGATAATCAACTTCCCTAGGTTGGGAGGGTTTTACATCGTTAGTCTGGCTAAAGAGACTCTCGAACTGGGTTTCAAGCTCAAGTTGCTTCTGCCTTCGCCGTGCAATGCAAAACTTAGGACCAAGAGATAGCACTTCTACGAGAGTTTTGTCAAGGCGTACTGAAGAATAGTTATGGACGTACCGTTCCGGATTGTTCGGAAGGGTGGCCTGTGCTTTCACTGACTGGACACTTCGTAGAAGTTTCGTCCACCTGGCCTCGATTCTCTTATTTCTGACTGTCTGCACATAGTCTTCAAACTTCATTCGCTCGAGACTTTCGAGATGGTCGAGGGCTGCTGTTTTCTGGCATAGATTCCGTTGCAGTTCCTCAATTCCTGTACTCACTGTCTCCAAATGACTTTCTGCATGACATCTTAGTGTGTTTGAGGTGGGTGAGATACGGCTTCTTCGTAAGGTTTACCAGTAGTATCGCGGATATTCCCCACGATCAATACATCCTGATATGAATTTCCTCGTCACATTTGCATCCGCAAGTCTGGTGTCAAACTTCAGGAATCCATTGAGTTCCTTCAACACCGAGGGATCTTTGGACTGTCTCAATTCTTTTAATTACAATGCTTCAACCCAACGAAGAAGTTTCAGTTTTGAAAGCCTTCAGACTCGGAAAGCGCACTACTGCACCCGCTATCCCACCGCATTCTAAGCCCCTCAACATTGTTCTGAGTTGCAAAGAGCATGTTGACCTCATCTTCTCAAGACCTTTTAAGCGAAAATATTCCCACCAAGGAGTTTTTTTCAGCCGGACTGCGACAAAGGAGTGGCGAACAATACCTGGTTATCTACAACAACTGCGTAATCGAGCGGCCGTCCCGGTTTATATGGAAACGCCCCGTGCGTATGTCGCCACAGCTGAGGCAAATGAAATAGGCGGCGACATAGCCGGCTTAACAAGGGCAAAAAATCTAAAATGTTTATATTTCAATGCGCAAAGACTGCTATCTAAATTAGATGAGCTTAAGATCTACGTTAACGAAGCCTTGCTCGATATAACTTCAATAACTGAAGCGTGGCTGTTCGCGAGCGTAGACGATCGTGAAGTCGCATTATCCGGTCATCAATTTTTCAGAAAGGACAGATTAGGACGTCAATGTGGGGCTATGCTGACATATGTCAAAAATGTCCTTTTTGCGTCAGAAAAAGGGGGTGGGGCAGTTTGCGCGCACAACTGAGACAATCTGGCTCACCATCAAAACGTCGGGGTCACAAGCTCTCGAGATCCTGACGGTCTACCGCCCACCGAGGCACGACCCGCAATCAGACAGTTGTCTGATAGAGGAATAAGAAGCGATTTCGATCCGACCCAATGTCATGATCATGGGCGAATTTAACGCTCCGAATATCGACTGGAATCTGACCTCTGCCCCAGGCTCAGAATTTAACTTTAATCGCCGCCTCCCAAAAGCGGTGTAAAGATCGCATCTCACACAACACGTCTAATCTCCAACCAGACTATGTAAATGGCAACTAGCTAACTGCTTAGACCTTGTATTGACAAAAGTACCTGAAAGCGTTGATGTCGTAAACTGTCTACCCCCTCTAGGAAAAAGCGACCATGTAGTCCTACAGTGGGAGTATTCTCTCTTCTCTGTACCCGATCAAAGCATCGTGGTTAGACGCAACATATGGCGTGGTGACTTCAACCAAATGCGTCTCGACATGCGTTGTAGAGACTGGAAAGCTGCATTCACAGGATGTGCTCTCAAGGACTGGTTAGAACTTAGGGTCGTATTGCATGAACTTATCACCAGGTACTGCCCTATATCGAAAATGAAAAGTACCAGCAGGTCCCGATGGCTAAAGGGCACATTAAAGGGTGAAGTAAACCGTAAGCAAAAGCTGTGGAAAGCATATCTTAGGGACAAGACAACTGAATCAAGAAATAGGTATAAGGCTCAGCGGAATAGGGTAAAGTGCCTTGTTTACAAAGCCTGCCAAGACTTCGAGGGTAACCTTTTAAACTTTGCAGGAGAAAACCCAAAGCTTTTCTTCAACTACATAAGACAAAGTACTCGCAACAGGGATCCTATCCCTATGCTAAAAACTGATGACGGCGTTGAACTTTACAAGGACGACGAAAAGGCTGAGCATCTATCCAGGTTCTTTCAGTCGGTTTTTACAAGAGAAGTTGGTGTACTCGCTGATCACTATAATGTGGACGATATCCCGAAACTTGACTCAGTGGTTCCCACAAAAGCTGATGTTCAACAAGAACTACAGAAGCTAAAAGAAGCGACGTCGCCCGGTCCTGACGAAATACCCGCAAAGTTGTTGAAGGAATTAGGCACAGAATTGGCAGAACCTCTGTGTCTCCTCTTCCATGCCTTTCTTGATGCAGGCAGACTGCCTCCTGAGTGGAAGACTGTGTGAATTTCACCGACACATAAAAATGGCAGTCGCTCTTCCACAAACAACTACCGACCGATAAGCTTCATCTCCATATGCTGCTCAGACCATGGGCTCAGACCATGACATAGTTGTTTCAACGTTGGAATTCGAGGCTGACAAAACGTCGTCCCCAAAGTATAACTTTTTCCGCGCTTTCCGATCAACTCGCTCAACTGAATTATTAACACACCTGATTTCTTCCTTAGTTCGGATGTAAATGTTTGCACTGCAAATCTGCACGAAATTTTGAACCCGCTTATTTCTCGTTTTGTCCCCCGTTAGAAAATTATTAGTGTTGGGGATGAGGTTTTCCTACCCTTACCCTTTCGTCGCAGATTTCGCAGGCTTTATTGTCGTTTCCATCTTCAGAACGATGTTTCTGTTCTGCCCTTGATTTGTGGTATTTTTGATCGAACTAAGAGATTGTCTAAAGAAAAACAACTAGCCGAAGATGTCCAGTTTACCGAAAACCATTCGTTAAATGTCTCAAAACTTTTCTCTATAATGAAAAATACGAACTCATATAAAGACGCAGCATCCCATCCTCCGAGACGTTCTCGGAAATCCCATAGTTGATTACCAGTTAACCGCGGATAGCTTCAATGATTTCCTGTCCAAAACGTTTATTGAACACTCGACCACTCCGCTTCCGACCATCCAGTCATTAACCGGGGCAGTTCTAGAAACCATAACTTTCACTCTGTGGGATGTGACTGTTGCGATTCGGCGTTTTCGTCAATCTTATAGTCCAGGCCCTGATGGTGTCACAGTAAGCATTTTAAAAGCCGATGCAAATGCGATTTTCCCATCCCTCTTTTGCAAGATATTTAATCTCACTCTTGAAAGTGAAACTTATCCTACCTTGTGGAAGGAATCACACATTTTGCCCATTCCTAAGCATGGCAAATCTACATCATTTGATGACTTTCGGCCAATAAACACCCTCGCCGCAGTTTCGAAGATCTTAGAGACATTGATCAAGGATAAGATGATGTGTCACTTAACAGTGAATAACTTGATGAGTGCTGCCCAGCATAGATTCCTCAAAGCTCGATCTTGTGACACCTGTCAACTCTCTTTCTTTGACTATGTTCTCCAATTTTGGGACAATGGTTTTGCACTTTACACAGTATATTTCGATTTCACTAAGACTTTTGATCGTGTTGACCATGCTCTTCTTCTCTTGAAATTGTCCTCTTTCGGAATAAGTGGCAAACTTTTGAATTTTATATCCTCTTACCTGGGCACTCGTACACAACGAGTTATGATTTCCAATACTATCTCCAATCCCACACGTGTGAGGAGTGGCGTCATTCAGGGTACTGTACTCGGCCCACTTCTATTTGGCCTTTTCGTTAATGATGTACCCGATTTATTTCAGAATGGTAAGCCTTTCATGTATGCCTATGATCTTAAAGTTGCATATCGATATAAGCCGGTAGATCATGACATCGTGCTTGAGCTCCTAAAGAGCGATCTACAGGCTTTCGCCCAGTGTTGCCGCACATGGCGCCTTTCTCTTTCTTGGCATAATTGCTCAGTCATGGTGGTTGGCAACGATCGCCAACCTCAACTAAGTATTGAAGGTCACGCCATAAATGTGCCAGCGGTTATAAAGGATTTGGGCCTATCATACTCCAAGAGTCTCAATCTCTCGGAGCACTGTGCCTTGATGGTCTCCAAAGCACGTAGAACGACCGGGTTTATCCTCCGAAACTTTAAAACTAGGGACATTAGAATGCGCCTTTTCAACATCTACGTTAGGCCTGGTCTGTTCTACTGTTCGTTTTTATTTAGCCTCATGCGTGCTACTGAGCGAAAGAAAATAGAATCCGTTCAACACTTTTTTACCAAGAGAATTTTAGCCGCGGAACACCGATATTTGTCTTACCAAGAACGTTGCCGGCTTACGGGCCTTGATCCTTTATGGTTCCGTAGATTACAAAAGGGACTATTTTTGCTATTTATACTCTTATATAATCAAACATTTAACCCACTTACCTCTTTAAGTCATCATGTTCAGCCCCGACGTAACAGTCGCCATGAGGTCTTCTTATTTCTGCCTCTGGCACGTACTGTTAAATATCGTCGGCTCTATTCTGTAAATGCAATTGCTGTTTGGAATAAACAACCCATGAGTGTGAAAAATCTGCAAAATTATCTTTTATTTAAGAGAACTATTACTCGATTTTTGCACTCAGAATAGCTCCCACAAATTTTGGGGGCTGAATCCACTGATCGACTCTACCGTAGCGATGGCGTTTGTGGTTACTGAACACTATGAACGGTCTCACCAGCTGTTCCTCAACGCCTCTACTTTGACTATCCCCAACTTCATGAAAGGAATTGACGTCCGATGATCTCCGATACCGTGCAACCCCTCCCCCTTCTTGACGGTCGAAAGTCTACCACCAGCAGTTTTATTCTCCTGAACCCTCCAAACCATAAAAACCACCATCAACTATATTTCTATTCCTTTATCTCAGGAGTTTTTTTCACTGCTAGTCGGATTTGTGCTTAATCGCTCCCCTTGACAATGCCTGTAAACTGGCATTAAATAAATTATAATAATTATTAAACTTTTGGAGCGAAACGAACTGACGCGGTTTTTAGAGCAACATCCTCTTATCTCCGATGCACAGCATAGATTTTGCAGAGGAAGGTCCTGCTTGACCAATGTAATCTACTGTCTTGAACAGTGGACCCGAGCAATTGATAAAGGAAATGTGGTGCAGGTAGACTATATAGACCTAAGGAAAGCCTTTATCAGCGTGCCACATCAACATCTCCTATATAAGCTCAGCCGCACAGGGGTAAGTGACAAGCTTTTAAAGTGGATTAAAAACTTGTTGATCGGTCGGTCTCAGACTGTCCATCTTAGTGGCCAGCAATCGGCAGGGGTGACTGTTACGAGCGAAGTACCTCATGGTGCCGTTCTTGGCACTGTCCTCTTCCTTATCTATATTGGTGACTGGATCCATGGGTTGGACTGCGACATTGCCATGTTTGCGGACGATGTAAAGCTTTAGAACGTCATTCGTAACGAGGACGATGAAGCAAATCTACAGGCAAACTTGATCCGAATCGAGCAATGGTCAGGCCACTGGCTCCTCCCATCGAGTGTTACCACATGCAACATTCTGACAATTGGCAGAACGAGCTCTGCGCACCGGAGGACGTACTACATAAATTACACACCGTAGCCAGTGGCAGATGTTCAGAAGGATCTAGGTGCGTGGATAATATCTTAACTAAAGCCATAATTCCACTGCTTGAAAGCAGCGAAATCCACAATGTCCAGCTTATATCAAATCCAGCGGGCATTTGCGTAACTCGACGAAGGGGGCTTTCGCAAGCTCTTCGGGATGTTTGTGCGCACACAGTTAGAATTTGCCATTCAGGCCTGGAGACCCTGGTCTGTTAGAGATCATACCACCCTCAAAAAGTCCAACGACGGGCAACCAAGCTTGTCAGAGGTCAAAAAACCTACCTTACGAAGCAAGACTGTCCAATCTTGACCTTTTTCCCCTGGACTACAGACAGCTACGTGGCGAATTAATTTAAACGTTTCGAATGCCACGGGGTCAGGGTTGCTGCCTCGCATCGGGTGACTTCGTTGAGCTGGTCACCACTAATACCTTGAGACTATAATGAAACTTCGTGTGACAGGGTCGAGAATGGACGCAAGGAGGTCCTTATTCAGTCACAGAGTGATAAAGGTATGGAATGCTCTGCCTGTCCTCTATCGTCATGTCCTCATCCGTGGACGCATTTAAGAGGAAACTTGACCAGTACAGGGGTATGTGCCACCACGGTATCGGAAACTGACAAATTCTCCCCCCCTGTGCCGCCCTCCAGGAATGTTTTACGTTACAACGCATGCTACTCCCTATATTTACGCAGCATTATCTTATGACTTTTCTGCTATCTGCTGACCGAAGCATATGCGCTCGTTTAGATATTACTTGGTCCATTCAGTACCGCATACTGGTTATAGTAATTTTTGACACTGAATGCATTCAGCGACGAATTTATGCCAGTTATAAATGCTTGTTGTATGTAATTGCTTACCTTATTTTCGTTGACACTTGCCTTACATATTGTTTTTCTATGATGCTACTGTAATTAAAAGGAAGCTCGAATGCGCTTGCATACCTTTCCCTTAATAAATCTGATGTGGTCATGAAAATGAGGGGACAGTATTTTGTCGACGAGAGTCGTATTTTCCGTTCTGAAATGTACCTGCTAAACTTCCTAATGCCTTCTTCTATTAGTCTACGCGTATTGACTACAGTGTGGTAGAACATGACCCCGTCCTAAGAACGGAGACAATGTGGTGCGGATGGGGTCATGGCACAGCCAAAGGGATCGTTCGTCTTTTACTTTTAACACAACCGACTCATAATATTAGAAATTTCTGCAATGCAGATAACGTTCCTGCCGTAGAAATACGTCTGTAAACAATCGTGCAAGTAGCGTACTTGCCATCCTTAAGCCCAGGGCAACGACTGTGATTTCAGTGGGAGACTCAGTCTACTCCATCCACCGGAAGCAAATAACGGAAATTAGCTGGTTTGTGCGATTCCCTGTAAGGACATGTTCCCGTCCTAAGGACCGGGATAAATATGGATGGAGGTTACTATGGCCCGGTCTCGGAGGTCGCTCATATGTAATTTATAACACAACTGATCAACAGCGTTGTAATTTTCTCTCAGTACTTCCTGTTATGTGTCTTCAGAAATTAAAATAATACGGAGCATCTTCTGAAATTTTAATATTTGGCCCCGCAGCTTGGATAAAGTTAAACAGGAACAGACACAGGGGCCAACAATTGAGCTTTCAGAAAGCGACCCAGTTCATTCCAGTGACACAAAAGAAAAGACGATAGGTAATTCGATCTTCCGATGGTTTCTGCAACTTGACTTATGTAGAACGAACACAGACGATACCTTTACTGCAAACAACTCGCAGAATTACAAGCTAAATGTGCTATAAATGAACGATATATCGGACTGGGCCATGCTCCCCTCCACCCCATTTAAGCTCAGTTCATATGACAGGCAATGTGTTACAGAATTAGCATGCCAGTTTCCGTCCGTCCACTTATAAACATGATTTTGGTGACTTTTTAAGGACGACAAGGAGAAGTACGAAACCTCTAAATACCACAGGCTACAAGACTTCAGTTATAATCTGTACTATCTGGTGTCAGTTTTATAGAAGTAAAAGTAATTCAATAGGAAAACGACGTATACCACAAGGTTTTAACCTTACTAGTAATCCACTATAGGAAGCACATTCAAAGACCTATTCCAGACAAAAGTATGCTTTAGCTACTCTCGCTGATTGTGAATTAGGCAATGGAGAATTGGCAGGATTAATATGATTTTTCAGGTAAAAATATCTGATAGAGGGTTGGTGGTCAGCACCTAAAATTCAATTTTGCACGCAGACGGCTTTTGCGGCAAATAAGGACTTTCAACACTTGTTTTATCAAAATCCTTGCCCCCGTAGATTTGTTTTTTTTGAGTGCACTATGTGCTTTGGCGCGTGGTTGCATTTCGTGCAACTGGGCATCGCGGTGAGGGTTCGCAATAGTCGAGGGAGTGGCTAATTGACTAAAGTTGTTGTTGTTGGAAATAAAAGAAGGGGACCGCGACAACTGTGGCCGTCTTATTTTAACATCAAAATTGTCTGTAAGAGTTCAAACACTCCTGTCCACTAGATTGAACATGTCACTCCTGGTTACATCGTGGTAGCCTTCGTCTAGCATCACAAATTTGGGAGCTAATAATCATATTGGCCTCTGACGCCCATATTGCGAAGGGAGTGCTGGGGGGGGGTTGTGCATGAAGAGACTACTGACAAGAGTCAACTAATCATAAAACTGGCAGAAGAAGCTAGCCCTGGACGATCGTCCAGGGACAACATCGCACTCGACTGCGATGTTATCAGGGTCAGCCGTGGTATTGGTCACATAGGTGGAGATCGCTTTGTCTACGAAAACAGTGCTTACTTAATTCCGATCTGCCCATGCCACCATAATTGCGTAATCCTGTCGTAGACTGACCACCTATATGCAAACATTTTACCGCGCATTCCTGCCACCGACATGCCTGCACGGAAAGTCCATCCCGAGTTCCGTGAAACTTACTCGGGTTATTATTAGGAGCACACCAATAGACCCTTGCACGCTCTCTCCATTTTCAACAGCAATAGTGGCTTGATTAAACATTTTTATAGACAGAATATTCTAGGCAAAGGAAAAAACCTTTCCTCTGATTTGCCGACTAACGAGGGAGCGGCCCACCACCTTGAAGACCGTTTGCAATTCGTCAACTAAGTCAGGCGAGAAGACATGTACCGAAGGCTGGCACCCTTAGGCGAAATTTAAAGCCGAGTATGAAATGTACTTGTCTACTCCACGGGGACCCACCTTTATTCCCATCAAACCTCTGACTTACTTTGTTCTGTTCGGTGCTTTCCTTTAGGCAGCAAATATCCGTATGCAAACAGTATTCAAGCGTTTTGCTGTTATGTTTCTCTTGGCTCATTTTTTACATCAGGTGCTTGGCAGTCATTTTGCTAATGTCATGGGTGGAATGATACGGTCTCTTTTAATCCTATCTCTTGAGGCTTACCGTTTTCTACGTGCGGCGATAAAGGAGTCCCATACCTTGCTGCTTATTGTATGTAACACTTGTTTTGGGAACATAGGCGCGCACACACGTACCTATACCAGGAATTCACAGATTGAAGACAAAATCTACTGAGGCCGAAATATTGTGAAAGTGGAGACCTTTTATGCGATAATTCCTACCAAACTGTTCATCGACAGTTTACTAGCCCTATCAGGCACCGGAATGCCTCGTAGATTTTCCGCTTGATCTTGCTACTCCCTTCTCCAAACATCTGCCAGATTTCCCCTCCACCCGTTGTAAAGCAGCACTGCTTGTGTGCTTTTAGCTGCCAGTGGACAAAACCGCCCTGCGGTGAAATTTATACCCGTGTCCAGAGCCGTTTCATTAGGCTTTCAACTCTTGATGGGCAGGCCGTGCGCCAAAGTGTCCCTTGTCACGGGGCTAGGTTCAGGCTTGGTCTTGGGATCTGCGTTTTTTATTTGGAGAAGTTCTGGAATTCCACCACTTACTTTATTTTTTCAGATAATGCTCGTGGTGCAGTCCTTGTTTCCACAGCGGCTTTTGCTGTGTTCGCCGCCTGCTCGAAGTAAGTTTCTCCCTGTTTGATTGCATTCTAACGAACAAACATCTGTAGTCTGATTTGCCGACAGAAGAATATCTCTGAAACTGCACGTGACAGACTCCCCTTCTTTGAATATAAGAGACAACTCGATCAACGCCTAGCCCAGCGAATTTCTACCGAATCGAAGTAATCTTGTCTGTGAGTCAGAACTTCGTAACTTTCGTCCCTCCCAATCCTCAGTTACCTTTTATCCGCGTTTTATCTAATTTTTGTGTTATGATAGCAAATTCTTTTCTGAGCGTAGACTAATCAGATATCTCATTAGCGATTCAATCGCCGACGACCTGATTCGTATCTCCATACATGTGATTCCTTCTTGTCCTTTCGGTCATTTCAGCAGTGTAGTTATTTTGGTCCTCGACAGTTGTTTGTGACCCTAATTCGGTTAATTAAATGTACCATAATGGAAACGCATACTGAGACAGAACCTTGTTCAGCTGCAGTACTTGCGCCTATACCGACCGTCATCAAACCCGAGCCAGCTGGCTTGGATTCTTCTTTCTGAAGGGATTGTGGCCTCAGCGGAAGTCCACGCCTCTGCTCCGGGTGCAGCCGCAGTCTTTATTACTACGTTGGTTGGTGAAACCGTATGGGATGTCAGGCAATATTCGGCATGTGGCGATACCGCTCTAGGGTCTTACTCCTTTTTAAGACGCTTTCCTCGGGATAATTCTTAACGAGGCCTCGAGTTATTTCTGCCGCGTAGCCCTCGACAGCCCTCGCAGAAGGCCGTTCCAGTAGTCGTCATCCCTTGGTATACAAAGTGTTTTTTGAGTAGACCAGCAAGCTGACCTCATTTTATGGATGCCCCGTTTTTCCATGGGTCTGCTTTGCGTGTCCGCCGATAGCGGACGCTAAAACGTCTCTCCTACAGTTCGGTCCTCTGTCGCCGGTGGGACCGTCATTACTGTCATCAGTGGCTGATCGCTCCCGGGCTATGGTCGAAGATCACAACTAAAGGTTGTATTGACAAACCGGCTACTCCTCATAATCAAGTTGGGCTTCAGCGGCCCCCATCGACATAGAGATTAGCAACTCTGCTCAAGGAGGAACAGGACTGGGGCAGTTTTCATCGTGGTTTATTCAGTCAGCTCTGTGCTGCAGGTTAGAAGTACTAGAAGTGGCCATCCTTCATTCAAGTCAGTAGATGGGAGATATCCGAATGAAGTTAGACCACTTGACACACCAACAGTGGGAACTCAGGTAAAATGAGCAGCTTAAAGCTCAACGAATAAACCATTTTAGTGACTAAGCTTCTATTGATTGTGAGGAAGCGCGAACTGCGCTTATTGACAATGCCGTCTACAATAGAACCAGTCGTTTCGCTCCTTATTGTTGTGGTTACAATAATTAAAATTCATCCAACAAAATTGTAAAACGTTCGGCGGTCTGGGTGGCGGGCGAGGCTTGAGTACAGCCAACGCTTCAATCATCGGCTCGTTAGTGGGTTCCCCAGCATTCCCCGTGTGTTTTCTTGTAGATTCTCCAATTTAGAAATTGTCGCTTTTTAATTTCCACAGAAATTATCTACGAAATTGGAGTAGATCAGTTTATTCAAGGTTTATAGGCTCAGACTGACTACTAGCTGCCTGTCGCTAGTTAATGAATAAATTGAACTACTCCAACTTCGTAGATAATTTCTGAGGATATTCAAAAGCGACGATTTCTAAATTGGAGTATCTACTAGAAAACACACGGGGAATGCTGGGAGACGCACTGACGAGCCGACTCCCTTGCAGCTGTGTCATGCAGCGGCAGAATATCGGCGAAACACGCGTGTATGGGCTTTTGACTAGTTCCTGAGCTGTTAGTATACTATCACCTTACCCTAAAGTTCATGACTCCCAGTCGAGGCAGCACAGCCCAGGTGGTTAGAACACTGACTGTATTCGGGCCTTGCCCTTATTGTCGGGAGTTCGAACTCCGCCAAGACCGTTGAATTTTTCACAATTGGATCAGATGGATTACTCAACTCTGCTAAAACACATATTTATAATTACTATGAATACAAAAGCTAAGCAGCGGCATAGGAAAATTTCACTGATGATAAGTTGAAATATGTCACATGAACCGGTTATCTTGTTTTTCCTACTTCCTCAGTAGTTCTCCTACCGCGTGAATCCTGTGTGCCTGTTACTTCTGTGATGCCATTGTGTTTTAGGTAACGGAACGTGCCTCCACTAGAAAACAGCGTTTACCTGGACGAAGTGAAAACGTTGTTTCCAAAACATCATTCCTTTCCAGTCCTTTTTTTCTCTCTGACCCACTTTGCTTGTAGACAAACAACTCTTCTTTTATTAAAAATTCGGCAGCACGATCGGTCTTCAATACACTTTTATTTGGGGGATTCAAGGACACTACCGAACCTAGCAGTTACACTTGAGCCTTTCACTCTCTACCTGTCATGCTTGTCGGTAGCGACCTCTCAAGTAGGCAGAGGTCGCAAGATGAACTCCCACGAGACCATCGTAGTCTGTTCTAATGAGTTAGTTTTGTTTAGTCAGTGTTTTTGACAGATTTTAATAATTCACCTGATCCTTTGGCTAAAAACTCGGCGACCTCAGCGAGATTCGAACCCACGACAACGCTCTAACCATCTGAGCTACGAGGACTCGCTAGAAGTCGTGGATTTAATGACATTTAGGTCGATTCACCCTACCACTACTGCAACGTATGTAATCCGCGAGGTCTAATATAATAAGCTGACTGCCCAATTAGGATTTCCGAAGCAATTTGGAATTAACCGGATGGCTACCAGACTCAATTAATTGGGTTGTATCGTATGTGTAGAAGGAGGAGTACCTACAGGAACACTGGGTGGGCCGATTTCTAAAGGGTGTAACGCGACTGGAATCTGTTCCTCTCTGTGTCGTACGATGTTATAGTTCACACCCAGCCTAACTGCGTTGACCGATAAGTACACCTGCGTGTAGGTTGGTCACAACCGCGCCATTGTTATTTGATTCTTCGGTGTCGGTGCCTGTGTACTTCGGTCTGCCGTAATGGTTCGGACAGATGAGTCTTCTCGTGTCCGAATAAATGAGTCTGAGTAATGACGGTTTTATGGACAGCGAGCCAAGTTGCTCTACAGTCCGACGACATGAGTTTATTTCAACGATTTTCACCTCCCAAATAGAGAAATCTGCGGACAGCTTGGAGCATTTTTCATTTCCACGATTAACTAGACGTCTCCCCCATTTCCACCGACATACGAAGATTCGGCAACCGATAGTGGTTCAGACCGCAGAGGGGATCTCACACAGCGGTTTTTGATTGACCTTTTCCCCTGGGAAGTTGGACATCCACCCTTTGCTTTCGCGAGTCTGTGAACAACAGTAAAAGCGGACCTCCTAATCTAGAAGGTGAAGGTCAGCCGACATGTCTATCAAGCACCAGTGGATTTGTGTGAAACTTGCTTTATCCATGGGCAGGTGAGGGAGCAGCTGTATTGTAGTATGCACTGGCTTGGGCTGCATACAAGAACAGCCAGAACACCTAACCTCCTCTCCATTCATCATGACCGAGTATTTTCCTCACAGCGCGTAGCTCTGGGAGGGGTGGGATCGCCGGTGACCAGGTCACCCTCATTTTAGTCCCTTTTTTGATTGGGTTCGACGGACGGTTTATGGAACTTGAACAGAAGCTCGGGTTATTTTAACCGAGGAAAGTATCTGAGTCGTCATGTTGAAAGTGGCTACTTCCCGTCTCCGCCAGACTCCAGTACTAAAAGGAGGTAACCGGACAGTCGCGGTTGTGTGTCATTTCGACTGCCGCGGACGACTGTCCACCGTGTGCTTCATAGAATGATGGAGTCGGGACGGTGACTTGTGCGGGAGTAAGTTTGTGGGGACGGCAGACTTGCACAGCACTTGCCGCACCCCCTCATCCACCTGGGCCCCGTGGCAGGACGGAGTCAGATTGACTGGCGGCGGAATCAGGCACAGCGACTGACAAAATCCAACACCCCGTCTGTGCGTGCCACGCACAGCCCGGTCTCCGCACAGTGGACCAGGTCCTCACAAATGGAAGGCAACTCAGATGCCATCAAAGGGGGAGCGCTTTTGGGTGCCACATTCTGAAGTAGTCACTGAGCCCGAGTTAATTTTCGGATCAGCAGTCCCACATAAACAGTACTGATATGAACGAAGATGTGAGTTTCAGGAACTAGCTGATAAAAACTAGAAGCGATCACTGGGAAAGGAGCTTTACTCGCCTGACGTTTTGGATTCAGACTTGAGTACATCATCAGAGACAGTGACAGATGCGGGCAATTCATGGACAGGAAGTTGCAGTACTTATAGGGTGTAGTCGCTATGCTACTGCATAACCTGCTCTCTTCTTCATCGAGGTTGGTTGCCCACGGGTGCGCTTACTGCTTGATTGCCGACGCACAAGATGTTGATTGCCGAAATTTCATCACCCGTGTTGAATGTTAGCGTGATGATTGCTCGACCGCCTGGCTCACCGATCTGCGCGCTTCCTGAGTGGCTTTGTACTTTCTCTGTAGACGGAAAAGTTCATCTATTATAGCAAGTGATACGTAAGAGGAGATTCAGGCCAGTGGGTATTTATTGAACGTCCAACTCCCGACTAAGTTTTAAGTAGGACTCGTCCTGCGGGTCCGATTAGAGTCACTAGACCCGAAATCTGATGATAGCTAGTCATTGTAGGTCCCAGCCGATCATTTCAGTGCCTAGTTTGTGTCTAATATCCGTGCAGATGCTTTTAGAAAGACAACAAGTCGTTTAGTGGTGTGCTTGTGGACTAAATTCCCCGCTTTTACTAGTGAACTAGTGTGATGATGCGCTGTCAACCAGGGACAGTGTAAATCGATACATGCGCTAGGGTGACCATACTGCGAATCATGTCGCCGGCTGATATCCTGGACATCGAGTGACATTACACGGGAATGTGGTGTATTTGTTATGTGCTGGGTATAACTGACTGACGACAGCTAATAAGTCAGAAATGGCCACTCCGGTCTCCCTTGTCTTTGTAGGCAATGCCTTTCTGCCTATGTCATGCGCCGCTGTGTGGCCGCTGGTTGGGTTCGAGAGAAAGAGCCCCAAGGCACAACGGGGCGAGTGAGTTCCGTAAAAATGGTCGGTGAGCGCCCCTCTACCATTGTACTTTTTTCGACAACCGGCAGAAATGTATGGGTCCTCTAAGGCTTGTCTCCCCATCTCTACTGGGAAATTTAAACCTTGGTGGTCATACTTTTTGCATACTTGTACAGACCTGTCGCCTTAATCAAGTGCAATCCGCTAGTATTATTTTTCTTTTGAAATGGTCGTTTGCTGTCTATTATCCGTCGAGGCGCTGTGCCTTCATTTGGTTTGCGAGATACCGGGATAGCTTAATGAGGCTATGTTCAGCGTTTTTTTACCCATTTAGTGATCTAATTTATACCTGCATTTACATTCTGCTTACCTAGTTCCTACTGTACGTGACAGGAGGCGCGCTCCTTTGCAATATGGGATATCGTATAATCATTAAGTAACGTCTACTTGTATTTGTTAAGTAGTACGCTTTAGACAACAACATACTGGGGCAGTAGGTTTGATTCAGCACATGGTCATCGTCTCTTCGGAAAGTACGCGTCCTTATACGACCGTTTTGGCATTCTCACTCATGTGATACCGGTCATATTATAACTTGATAATATGAAACTAGAACCAGGTCGTGTATGGCAGTCGAATACAGTTCGGCCCATCTGGTGGGGCAGCGATGGACATCGTCATTTAAGACGGTCGAACTGTCGGATACTGCCTCATCGGGAACACATTAAAAAAAACTTGTGGAAACGCATCCACTTTCATCGTTTATCTTCATCATGTCTCGAAATCTGGGCTCTTTGGAGCGTAATAGGATAGGGACGTACAAGTCTGAGTTGCAGCGGTTTCGTAGTCAAATGATGTCAAAGTGATTTTGAGCGAACGTATTGAGCACGATGGTGAAAAGCGGAGCTTCTGGCTATAGGATGCTCTTAGAAGAAGTTTTACAGAATATCTGCAAATGAATCTGACTGTTTTCTGGGCTCGTCATCTCGTTTATCTGATTTCGCTTGTGCAACCAGATCCGGCTGTTTGGACCTGTCAGGCACTTGCGTTTAATCGCCGCATCATATGACTGACCGGTTCAGGTGGTAGACTGGTGCCTCACAGAGGCTAAAGAGGGTGAGGCCGACTCTGGGGCCTTTGTATTCACGGCATTTAGTGCATATTCCTTAATATAAACAATCTGACGAGTTTTTAAATTATCACGATGCAGTACTAGCAGTTGAAAGTTCATCTCTCATCCGCGCCAAAAATGCCACGTCCTAGACGCCTCGATGCCGCAAAAATCCGGCAAACTAGCACTGTCGAGGCCCTGAGCAGAGAAATCCGGACCTGTTTTACGACGCGAACCAACGGAGAAGGCCGTAACCAGTGGTCGTCACTAAAAACATCAGTCTAGGGGGTAGTTGAGAAAATCCTTGGATACACCCAGCGACGCCGCAGTAACTGGATCAGTGGAAAAGCCCTGAAGTTGTCTGCTCAGACGGCTCGAGCCAGGTCCCGTAACGATGACTGCTTCCACCAGTTTCGGAAGATGACAGCCAAATCGGCCAGGGATGACCGGAAGCTATATTGGGCTGGAATTGCGACCTCCATGGAACAGGCCTCGAACTTTGGTGACATTCGAAAACTCAACCAACTTATACGCCAAGTTAGCGGTAAGCCCTCTACACTGAGTGACTCAGTTCTCGACGTGAATGGTGGCTTTATTGCTGACAACTCGACCAAAATCGAACGCTGGCGTGAGCACTTCGAGCACCATCTCAACTTCGATATCCAACCTACCTCGCTCTTGCCCTCCTCTTCAGCGGAGTTTCTTCCCTCTGACACCTATGCAGTGCCATGCGATCCCCCCTCCGAGGGAGAAGTCGATGCCATACGAAAGTTACGGAACAATAAGGCGCCCGGAAAGGACGGTGTACTCGCTGAAATCTTCAAGCCTTATGTCGGCACCCTGGCGCCCTGGCTCCATGAGGTGATTGAACGAGCGTGGAGAGACGAGGTTGTTCCTGATGACTGGGGCTTAGGCATCCTTGTACCTATCCTTAAGAAGGTAGATAAGACGAGATGCGAGAACTATCGCGGCATAAGCCTCATGGACGTTGCTGCGAAGCTCTTCGCTATTGTTCTACTCAGGCGATTTCCGGCTGTGCGTGACTCAAGGACGAGGCCCAACCAAGCCGGATTTCGTGCTGGACGTGGATACGCAGACCAGCTATTCACACTGAGGCGCATTCTCGGATTTCGCCATAGCTGCCAACAACCGACGGCCGTCTGCTTCATTGACTTTGCCGCCGCGTTCAATTCCGTTCATCGTGAGTCCCTGTGGAGGATAATGGCGCCAGATGGTGTACCGGCAAAAATCATCGCCATGATTAAGACCTATTATCGCTCCACTACTACGAGGGTCCTGGTCAGCAACAATCTTTCCCAACCGTTCGGAATGCGGTCTGGCGTTCGACAGGGTTGTATCCTGTCGCCCATTCTGTTCAACTATGCTATTGACTGGATCTTCGGGAGGGCCCTACACGAAGGTGACGGTGTTGAGTTTGCACCCGGACACCGACTGACTGATCTTGACGATGCCGATGATATCGCCCTACTTGCTTCAAGTTTTGGTGATCTGCAGTCTATGGTGTCACGGGTGAACGAGGTCGCTAAATGGGTCGGTTTATCCATAAACGCTGGGAAGAACAAAATGTTTTTAAGCTGCATCCCTGACCAGGAGAAGGCACCCCTCGGGATTGGTGGCTGTCAACTTGAAGAAGTAGACAGTTTTAAATACCTCGGGGATAGGCTGCTATCTAATGGACATAGTAAGGAGGACATTATCTCCCGAATCGATGCTGTCCGCTGGGTTTTCTCCAGCCTTCGGAAATGCCTATTGAACCGACGTGACCTCTCCATCGCCACTAAGATTCGCGCGTACCGTGCATCTGTCCGGTCTGTCCTTCTCTACGGTTGTGAATGCTGGGCTTTGCGCGTGGAGGACGAGCGAAAACTGGAGGTATTTGACCACCACTGCTTGAGGACCATCCTTTGAGTGAAGTGCACCGACTTCGTCTTAAATGAAACAGTCCGCGCTCGCTGCGACAACATCGCAAGGATAGCTCAGGCCATCCAAGAAAGACGACTGAGGTGGTTCGGGCATGTTCTTCGTCGTCCACCTCAGGAGCTCAGTGTTACTGCCCTCGATCCGGCACCGTTGCCCTATTGGAGGCACCGAAGAGGGGGTCAGTTCAAAACCCGGCTCGACACAATTCGTCAAGACATGGAGGTAGTTCTTAAACCTTCGATATTCGGTCTCCGTCGTTGGCGAAGGGAATGGGTTGAGCTGTCCAGATCTGCTGCCGCGGATCGTTGCGCGTGGAGAGGTACAGTTCGTAACATCATCGAGGCCAGCTAGATCAGGCATGGTCGCAGCCGTATCAAGTACAAGTACTACAAGCAGTGGCTTGAAGACTGCCAACTGACGGAATAAGTCGGTCGTCCTCTCGGAACGATGAACCAGGATGTAATGACTCCTTCTTAATGGAGCCTCTATGGCACGCCGAGTAGCCCCTTTCTGTTCGTACATGAAAACCTGGTTCATCGCGCACGGATCAGACGTGTGCGGCACACGCAAACGAGCTGTTTAGCTTCGTCAACCACCGCTCACGATCGCGCCTCCGTTCCTCCTGACTCTGTATTGACACCAGGCTCAGTTGGGCGAGGGAGGAGCGCGTGCTTTGGATGCAGCGCAAGTCTACTATAAACTAATTCACACGCAAGTCACTGTACCTCCGCCCACCATGCTGCGGTGCACGCGGTGGCCATCGTCGTTCACGATGGTCGAACTGTCATTTTCAGGTTATATGCTTGCCCTTTGAATTCTCCCTTATGATTAAAATCAAACTGGGCAGACTTCTCAAATGCGAATCGTCGGCTAATTCGACAGCCTATGTGGTACGCATGGAAGGGACAAGCTGCCAAACTCTGTTCCCCTTACTAGGTAAAACAGGCGATCGTTCTACATGCACTTTCTGATAGTTGTCTACTGTGTATGGCCCTACGAATTAGCTGTCTTTGAAATGCTCAAGAAATGTTTGTTTTTCATTTCAAAATGCATTGATTTTCTGATTTTATGCACGTATAGACCGGGAGCATATAAAAGGTGATAGCATATCGAACTGAGCAAAAGTCTGGTCGTTCAGAAATGTTTAATTTTTTATGTTTTAGTGATGCCTTCTTCATTTCCAGTGTTGCCAGGGTCGACATGAGGTGGGGAAGTATTTCATGCAAGAGTAAGAGACCGGTCTAGATTTTTGTATCCTGGGTGGATTGTACCAGGTCCCGAAACTGACGAAATACAGTGACCAAAATCCATACAGCTGGTCCGAGGTGTCTCGGATACTGTACATTTAATCAGCATAGCAAGTTAAGTTAAGTGTCTTATTTCAGCGCATAATGTGTTTCTAAGTAACCGGTAGAAATCAAGTCCTTTTTATATTCGGATAAGTCCCTATTCCAATAACAATCCTAGAGCATATCCGCGTGTTTGCGTTTGCTGCTTGTATAAATAATATTACTAGAAATGCGAAGGATTTACTAAAACAACTTTAAGCAATGTAGTCTTTCTGTCCACGTGAACCTGGAGAGCCGAGCTCTGATTATGCGCATAATTTTCCGAAAAACGGAAAAATTTCCTTCGTTAGGATTTCAGTCATACATTTTTTTAATTATGAATTTTAGAAACAATAATAACGCAAAGAGGTAATCCCTTGTTTTACCACATACTGCATTTCAAAACCTGCATAAATGTTCTACAACTAACCGCGAAATTGCCGCTTAACAAAAGGCATTTAAAGTTTTGATCATATGATAAGATGGTTTTTTGTGAGGCTTAGTTTCAGTCAGCACGTAATTTGACAACTAGAATCAGTGAGCGATCTCATGGAATTCTATCTGAAATTCTGAAATGTGTTTCCGATTAGGAAGGATTGCTTGAGTACGGTTGTACTATTGATCCTCTTGCAGCTCATCTCAAGATATGTCAGTTACGCCAGAATGCTTGACTCTGATTGAATTTCCTTTCGGTAGCTCGCAAAAGCTGCACTTGGTAAACATAACTGTCGAAGTATTATGGATTTTTTCCATCCATTTCGACATATTTACAAATGGAAGTATGCTTTGTAGGAAAAGACATATGAAATATCCTTTTCCATATTTCCTCAAAGAAAAGTTTCCAAAAACTTCATGATTATGAGATTTTTTAAGACCGCGATAAACCCATTCAAATAGGATCGCACCTGTTCGTAAACTAGTGCTCTTTACTAACTTTACTACGTAGTCTGCATTCCTCGCAAACTTCTATGACTCCTATATGAAATTTTGTTAGTAGCATAGAGGAATGCGTAATTTTTCCTGCATGTAAAGTATCTGCTTCTAGGCTGTAAACCCCAGACGTAAATGTAGCGACATAGTTGACGCAAAGTTAGCTAGAGATCGAAAACTTTTTAAAACCGAAATAGACTTTTTCGAGAATGGAGTTGGAAGTAGGCGTAATTTGCCAGCAAATGACTATAGGAGAGCATGTTCCTGGGTGTGTATTCCATAAAATGCATTTGCACTTTTAAGAGCACCGAAGATCAAGGGACAAAATTGATGTCGCTTAAGTACCCATTGTTATCAAATGAGGTTTTTGCAGACGACCGAAAAGAAATGAATTCAAAATCCGACATCCTAGATTCTGAAATATCTTGGGATTGTGCTGCACGATGATCAGCCATGCAACCTCGCTTAAGCAATCATTCCTAATCGAAAGCACATTTCAGAATTTCGCTGGACACTTTATTTTTGCATGGCTACATTACAGCATGTTTGCATTCACATAATTTGATCTAAAATTGACCAAATAGCAACGGAGGATCAGAAATAAAGGTAAAAGCGAGTTGTTTCCTTATGCGGCAGAAAAACTGTCAGCATCTGTTAGGTTAGTTCATGAACAGATAAAATACCTCCACTTTTTGGAAAAAGGTGAAGGACATGAGTACTTACGCAAGAAATTCCTTCACAAACACTTCTCAAGGAAGAACGTTTGAGAGTGAGAGATCTTTGATCTGATCAAGAGGGTATTTACCTCAACATTTAGTTATAAACGCCCATTTCCTAAACGACTGGGTTTCATATTTATATGGGGTTTCAAATATAGCCAAAATCGTCATTTACAAAAAATATCGTTGAACTACCTACTGCATGGATACAGCTCCTCGAGAACTGTCATATTTTGATGACTTTGTAAGTCACTGAGTGTAGAAGTTATTTTCTTCGGTAGTCTGCTGAGAACGCTCAGCAGACGCTATTGTTGCCAGAGAGCATACAGTAATTTTACGGAGGAACAATTCTGTTGATAGACAGGAAGGGGTAGCGCAGGACTGCATCAGCCAATTATATTTCACTTTGTTAATCACTGACCGGCCGCTCGATAGGTGAACATATGAAAATGTTCATTTCCGTGACGTCACCACAGATATTTAGCAAAATCCTGTTAGCTGCGATCAGCTACATGACATACAACACAAAAATGACAATTTCGGCTGCCAACATTGAGTAATGTCTCAAATAACTTTACTGGTAATTAATCAGTTGGCTGGATGCCGTACTGCTTACTGAACAAACGCTTGGAGAATATCCGGATGGATTATTAACTTTAATGGTCTTTTTATTTTAGGGTAAGGTAATACCATACTAACAGCACAGGTACTGGCCAAAAGCCCATACACGCATGTTTCGCCGACGTTTTGCCGCTGCATGGCGCAGCTGCGAGGGGTTCGGCTCGTCAGTGGGTCCCCCAGCATTCTCCGTGTGTTTTCTGATAGATACTCCAATTTAGAAGTTGTCGCTTTTTAATTTCCACAGAACTTATCTACGAAGTTAGAGTAAATCGGTTTATTCAAGCTCTATAGGCTCAGACCGAGGATTTTATGCATGAATATTTGGGCCGAAGTCCATCAGCCACAACGGGTAACCGCGTAATATTCATTAACCGCCGACAGGCAGTTATTGTCGTAGTATTTCTGCTCTTTTGCTTATTCAGTTATTTGTCTGAGCATGCTCAATATACTTTCGCGAACAAAATGCACTCATTTGACAAAAATTTTCGCGTTTTCCGCATTTCATATTCTCCCATAAGATATTTATTTTTAACCAATAAATAGCTTCTTTCGGTGTGTCGTCTATGATTTTCATTAACTGAGGATTGTTCAGCAATAATTGGATGTTTTCGTTCACTAGTTTGGATTATTTCCCAAGATATAAGACAGGTTTTTGGGAATTCCGCGTGATTTATAACTTATATCGCCTACTGCATATTCGACCGTGGCTTTTAGTATAAATGTTTGTTCCCTTTTCTTGCCACCTGTAAAGAGTGCTTCAGAGGAAACTCTCAATGACCTTGAGGGACGCATGAACAAGGCCCGTTTGCAGAACGGGAGAATGGATCAGATCCATTTGCCAGAAAAAAATAAGGGTAGCGCAGTGGCTCCAACATACATGTGTGCCTCATTATCTAGCAGTCCACTGGTTTCGAAATCTTGGAGTTCATCTTTTTTTTCATACATTCGCGGTGCACCCATTTTCGTTTAAGTGGTCATCTGCTAGATTTGCAGGGCAAGTTGCAGAAAAACGTTGACTGGGGTTAAATCACACAGGTAGTAGCTTCCAATTGGAATGCCAGAAAAAGGCTATAATGAAGTAGAGAAATGCTTATTTCCGTCAGAAGAAGCCGTCTCTTTCGCCTACCTTCTGTTTATATATGCTCTATTTTGACATCGGAAAAGTCCTTCGGGCGGGCAGTAAACGTTATTTCGCAAATTGGTCAACTTTGGTTCTCAGGTCTTCGTAAAATGTGGTTAAAATTCAGTAACTGAGTAGCGTTCTTACCAATGAATTGTTACGTTGAGGAGCGTTCGCTCCATATAATCATCTCGGTTAAGCCGACTTCAGCGCCGTACATTTCTATCCGAAATTTCCCTACGCGGCTGCGAAGTCGAGATGCCGATTGTT